AATGCTTGATGTTTTAGATTTATTCAATTAGAATCTCATAAACACTTAAATGTGTAGGAACCTTTAGAGCGAAAGATTCAATAGAAAGTGTATGACTAAGCCTCCAAGTGTCTACTACCTGGAGAAACCTGAAAAAACGGGAATTCTCAGGGAATTTCATTTCTACTGAAAATACCTGAAAGTCTCAGGGAATATCATCAGTACTCAGGAAATTTAATATTATTTTACTAAGTATATTCCAAAGAAAAAAATGCATTTAAAAATAAAAACGTTCAATATTCCTAGTTAATTTCATTCACACATTTGAAATCGGAGCAAAAGTCCTCGTAATTGTAAGGTGAATACTTAGGGGTGAAGAGGATGCTTAAAGGAGGATTACAGTTAAATCTGAGAATAATTCCAAAGAATTTCGGAAAATAATTACCGGAGAGATTGCCAAACAAATTAAGGTGAGAAATCTAAGGAATTTGTGAGGAGAAATGAAAATTAATTTTTAGAGGATTTCAATGTAAGTAGTATTCCAAGGGAAGGAGAGAGATTAAAAAATAAATCTGAAATGAATTCAATGAAAATTCTTAGAATCTTTCCATAGGATTTCTTAAGTGTTTTAGAAATAGTTACCATATTAAAACAAATGAAATTCGTAATCCTCTCAACCTTTTTCCATCCTTAAATTGTAAAACTCCCTAACCTCGAGACGACCGCGAGCAATCGGTTAAACCCCTTAACTCTAGTTTTAAGATTCTTATTGTAGAAGAAAAAGAATACATCGGCTCTGTAAAGTTTATTCGACTGAGCCTGTACAAATAAACGAATTAACAAAAAAAAAAAAAAAAATAGGATTTCTTACTGAAGAGAATTTTAAAATTAAACGAAGATTCGATTCGGAGGATAGTTGCGAGAAGTATTCTAACTATAGTCTTGTGATATTTTTTAGAGAATTCAGAGAAGCGTTCCAAGTGAATTTCTGAAATAATTTCATGAGAGTTTCGATAGAATACAAGTGAATGATTAGGAGAACTCCGAGCGAATTTTCATGAGAAATCTCCGTTGAATATGTAATGGACTATTCTTAGGTCTTCAGAACAACTTGATAGTTCCCAAAACATTCCTGAAGTTAATGAAACTGCCTTGAAGTTCTTTTGTAGTTTGAGAAACTAGCCTGAAGCTCGCAATACTTCTCATCATTGTTTTTAACTTCTCGGACTTCCTAAAGTTTCCACAACTCTCCTAACGATCATCAATCTTCTCTAAAGCTTTAACAATTCACTGAATTTCTCGAATCTTTTTTAAAATTTATGCTTGTCTGGAATATCTCTGCTCTGAGGATATCTGTTCTTTCATGAAGTTTTGTTGTCGAGATTTTTAGCGCGATCAATATATTTCTTGAAGTTCTCGAACCTTGCAGTTCTCATGAAGCTTGTTGTACTACCCTGAATTTAATAGAACTTTTCAAAAAATGTTCAAGCTTCCGTGAACTTCTGGACTTATGTGAAAACTAATGGAACTGAACTCCCCTGAAATTCCCCTTGTTTTTAAGCTTTACTAAACTTATTTGAAATGCTCCTGGAATGTCCATATAAGTTCCTGAAGTTCTCGGATCTTCCTTTAGGCTCCATAGACTTTTATGAAGTTCTAGAATTGTTTCTGAAGATCTCTGTACTTCTGTGAAGTTTTCGAAGTTGTTCTGAAATTTAAGGAATTTCTTTTAGCTCCCGCAACGAAATAATTAATATAGTTCTATGATTTACACTGAAGTTCTCAAGATTTATAGATTTTCGAAACTAATTCATAGCTTCTTCAATAGTCTAGAGTTTCTTGATGTTTTTAAAACAGCACAAAATATTTCTCAATTTCCTTAAAATTTACTAGACTGCCCTGAATATCTTAGTATTTTTTTTAAAAGAACCCCTGGAATTGATTGAATTGCCTTTAAGTTATACAATTTTCCAGTTTTATAAAGTTTATAAACGCTCACGGAACTTTTCCTTAAATCATTAATTTTCCCTGGAAAGTCCACCTCTGAAATTTTCTATGTCTACCTGAATTTCTCGAAATTGATCAAATGTTCGGGTCAATTATCTGATGTATATATACATATTTATAATTCCCTGAATCTTCCAAAGTTTTCAGAACAACCGTAGTATTCTCGGAATATCCCATAATTTCAAGGAGCTCCTTGTAAGTCGCAGCAAATTTGCTTAAATTAATGGGATTTTTGTGATGTTATCTGATCGATCTCGAAGTGCTCGAAACTTCACTGAATATAACGAAACAAAAAAAAAAATTTCGAAATTTCTTTGAAGTTCTCTGGAATTTATTGAAAATACCGGTACTTGCTAAAAGTTCTAGATTTTTTTATTTATGGAACTTCGTTGATGTTCTTTAATGAACTAAGCTAAATTTTCGAAATTTTTGAGTTCTTGAAATTTCCATGATATAACATCCTTGAAAAAATCTAGCATTATCCGGATGCTCATATAATTTTTATTACATTCCAGAAATTTTCTGAGAAATTCTTTAAGGTTTCTGTAATTTCCTTGAATTTTTTTAACTGCCCTTTAATTCTATGATCTGTCTTGATGTTCTCGGATCTTCTCTAAAGCTCTCAATTCTAATGAAGATCTCGGGTCTGCTTTAAAATAAATGGAATTCTCATGAACACCTTTAAACTTCAATGGAATTCTCTGGATTTCTGTGAAGGTCCTGAAATATTTCTGAAGTTTTCATAAATTTTCTGAAGGTTTCTGTACTGAATCTCTCGGAACATTTAAAGGATTCTTGATTTTATTTCAGCACATAATGGAATTATCCTGAATTTGTCTGAACTCACGCTTTTAGATTTTTAAACCAATTCAATAGTCTAGGCTAAAATTTCGGAGACTTCCGGGCTGGAATTCCCCAAAGATCTCTAGATCTAGTTTTTCTGAGATAAATAGAACTTCTTAAAAGTTTCCACAATTTTGCTAGTACGTAACTTCGATACATTAAACATGTTGTGATCTTAGACTTACTAAAATAAAGTAAAACTGTTACTTTAAAACTGATTGTCATGTCTTAAAAACGTTTGCATTAATTGTTGCAATCATATGTTTAACGCATTTTATAAATAGTCCGGCAAAGTTATAGAAAAACCTGGAAAACTTAAGGAACTTTATTTAGCCAAATAAGTGGACACCCTGTAGATAGAAAAGACTATTAAACGTAAAAAAAAAAACTCTATACAAGGTCGTCAACTTCGAATAAGGTGATCCAAGGGACGTTTCTCAGTGGAACTGACAGCTAGAAATCAGAGTGAGTGAGTGATCTGGTGTTAATGAACCAGAAATTAATATGAGAATAAACTGCCAGTTCTACTGTGATCTGTCAAAAGTTCTTGGTAAAAATTCAGCTGATCGCAACTGACTCGTGGACAGTTAGAACAAAATTAAGGCCTATGGAAAAATTAGAACAAAATGTAGGCCTATCCTACGCACTGCAAGAAGAATGATCAATCTTGAAATAAATTAACGTTAAAAAAAGTTTAAAATAGTGACTGATTACAAGAAAAAGTGACTTTAGTGACTTGGCCTTAAAAAAGGAGACTTTTTAGTGACTTGCATGAAAAAAGTGACCAAGTCACTAAAAAGTGACTCGCTACCAGCCCTGGAATTCGAATGTGAATAGCGATCATCAATTCCACGACGCTTATTAATCGATATATCTATTTGTCAATGGCATTGCCTTCGTCTCGATCTACCTTTGTACCAACTCTTAAAATATAGGCAAATATCAAAATATTACTTGTCAATTATGACATGGGTTGATACCTGGTGAACTAGTAAATACATCTTTAAAATTTCATAATGGCCTTACAAATGTCGCCCTAAAATTAAATGATTAATTACTCTCGCATCCAGCACGTCATTCGTAGTCAGTTTTTTGACGTAATAAGTTGATTGAGTGTGTGGTGGAAGATTCTTTTGATTATATCATAATGCACTCATGGTCTGTTGATTTTTTTTATCAAATGTTGCGTCAACTTTGCATCATAATAACTATGTATAATGATTCTGAACCATAACAAAATACCATGATAACTCTTACGTGCTCTTTTCAGTATAGTGGGCAGTGACAATCAACTTTACAAAAGTGTCAAGACTTATGAACTACACACTAAAGTTCAAATAATTACAAATTTTATATCCCTGTTCATTGAAAGTTATATCAATTTCAATTGAACTTTTGACTTCCATTCCACTCATGCACAGGGCTGTCAAATGTCATTTCCAATGAAAGATCTCACGCGATATTTACAGAGATACTTCTGTCACTATCTATGGGATGAGAAAACGATGATAGAGATTTTCTTCAAAATCTCATCGAATTTTTCGTCATGACAGAACGTGACAGTGTTGTGATCATCGTTATTATTAGCTCATTTAAAGCTAGTAAAGTTACTTGTACCGAGGAAATCTTAATAATATCTTCACTCTACTGATTACATACGGTTGTTTGCTTAAATTCATCTTAATCAGTTAGAAATGTTGATGTCAAAACCGCATAAGAATTATTCTCATGAGTGCTTGATCAATGAAAAATGACAAGAAAGCTAATGATAGGTAGTTTCGTCTCATGATAGGGAGAGGACCAGTTTTCTCATTGTCACATGACGGCCTTGATATTTACCGGCTCTGCTCATGCATGTTAAACTCATGTAAAATTAATGCTGTCAACTAATGCCAGAAAATACATCAATGTGCTCCATGTGAATTTACAAAGCTTTTGCTGTGAAGTTCTGAATTTTAACCATCGCGTAAAAACTACACTCGCCTAATTTTCAGCTATAGTTGGAATAAACATCATCATTGTATACAAGCTTTAGTAGTGTATTAGTAGTGAGTTCGTTAAATCACAACCATGATTCTCCCTTCCATGCAAGTCTGCATACGCTACTGAATCCCACCAATACTCGATGGAAGGTATTTCATTAACCCTTCCGATTTCTGCTTCTCGTTTACCTTTTGTATGTTGATGTTACTGCTGTTGCTGCTGCTGCTGCTATTATTGCCAATAAACGATGCTTTAAAAAAGCCAGTATTCGTCGATATCAATGCAATATGCTGTCGAGACCGAGGCTGCCCGGCTGGTCAAACAGATGAAAGTGCAAATCAACCTCATGGGGTTGGTATATTAATCCAGCTGAAATTGAGATGGGCGTTGAAAATTAATCCAAGGCACGGAGCCAGCTGCCCTTCTAAATGCCGATTAAAATCGGCTTTTCGTTCACTAGCACTTGATTTCAAAAACTGCACAATCAACATGAGCTGCACACTGAGTACACTTTTCGTTACGATTGTTGCTTTTTTTTTACTTATAGATTGATGGTGTAATATTATTTTAGCACACGTTGTTATTTTTATCTTCTTTATCGAATGCTGAATCAGCACTACCACTTACAGAAAGTTTGATGATTGCTGGCCAAGCTGAAAAATTCAAGAAATTTTAATTAAACCTTGCCGCACACTGGCACTCGATTCACCTAGCTTCGTGTTTTTCTTCTATTCTTCCGATTATTCTACTCTTCAACTCGCACGTATAGAATTTATTCTTCTTCCTTCCAGGCTTGTCGATATCACCTTGCGGCTTTAATTCATCCCACGAATACACTTTTCTTCCTTCGAGCCAAACTAACAGCACTTTTTGTGCTCACTTTACCCTCTGTCGTTATGCTTTGCACAGAATCTGAATCCCCTCTGAATCCACTGCGTGTAAGGTAAACACACAATACAGGAAGAATCCTGCTTCCGCGAAATTCGACAACCGCTCTGGGCTCTCCGGGGTGCCCGAAAAGAACGCAGAGAAGAATAATCCCAAACGCACACCCGCTCAATCCAACAGAGCACACCTTCCGGCACCGTTCCACAAAGCACTATGGGAGGACAGTCCCTGTGGTAATTGAACCGCTACAATCCTGGTCGAGAAGCAAAGCTAGACTTCCAGCAGAAAAGAACCGGTCCCAGCAGAGGGTTACTGACTAGCCGACTGATGATGACTGAACTGAACTCTCTCTCTCTTGCACACTTGAATACACACCATCGCAGTCGCGAGATGATGATGACAAGAAGTCCCAACCGTGCACGCACTACTCTCTCTTTCCACACTCCCTATTGACGCTCTACTCCCGATCCCGAAGTAACACCGGCCAGAGCTAGGTAAAGTACAATCCGAAAGCCGGATTCAACAACCGTACCGACTGCAGGCGACGGACAAACTGAGCGATGAGTAATCGAGAACACACCTTCGATTGCCGGATTGAGTCACCGAACCAAAGCAGCCCTCACTCACTCTCTCAAGAGGATATAGAATCGCGCTCACGCTGTTTCTGCTCACGAGTAGCTAACAAATCGGAGGAGTTAGAGTGAAGTGCTGCCAAGGAAATGTAAGATTCTCTTACAGTTTTTGTATAAGAATCAAGCAGAGCATTAATTTTTTAACTTTACTTTTGTTTCATTTTAATTATAATGATTTATTAGAAAATCCAAACGAACAAAGCATGAACAATGTCAGAGGTATTTTCGTCATTGACTAATGAATGGCCGTTTAATCTTGTGATAATGATAATATCAATTTTGTGATTTATTGAGTCCATATAGCATCGAAGCGACGCAAATATAAACCAAAATAGAGGATCCATTTTCTCTCAGAGCTGAATCGACCATTTATAGAGAGTGGAGAATGAGTGAAGAAGAAAATGTAACACAATCAAATGTGAGAACTCGCGCACATGAATGAAAATGCCTACTCTTCTAACATGAATCCAAAACTGGCTCTCCCTATGTTTACTTGCGCTATGCTCGGGTGCTGTTATTGTTATTATTGCTTCGCTATGCTCGCCAGACTCATCATATTATCTTCCCCCCAGAGCATTAGCCGCGAAAGATGATTCTGGGCATGGTAGCAGAGCACCCGGCAGAAAACAATAACAATTACCACTACAACCACTGCACTGGTAACCGAGAGCGAAAAAATAACAGATCATACCACGGGAGAAGAGTACCGGTACCTACGCTACATATAGGCGCATGAGATTCCCTTTCATTTCGCGATTCAGCGCTTCGATGGTGGGTCAGCCAGTGGTAAGTGTGAGCGAATGGAAGCCGTTCTGATCACGGAGGGAAAATAAAACCGGCCGCCTGCCAAGCCAGACGATGATGCGGTCGCCATCATGCTTCGAGTCTTGATCGTCATTGATCATTGCCATTATGACTTTTCTGGGCTTATAGCTGAACCAACACGCATGTGTTCTGTTGCAGTGTAATATCAAGATTTTAAACGGCTTTGTACGAGTTCTTACTGTTTACTGTTAATGGTTTCTGAGCTAAATAAGGAAAAAGATTGCTCGCATTCACATAGCAGCCGTCGATTACTTCTCAATGAAAAGTAAACATTAAAGAATAAGGAATACATGATGAATAACATATAATAAAGAAGCATAAGTTAAATAAACAATAAACAATACATAATAAGTAGTGCAGACAAATTAATAAAGAATAAATTATAAGGAATAAAGAATAACGAATAAAGAAAAATAAACAAAGAATAAAGAGTTGGTTGGAAATACTCTCTACCATGAAGCTTTAGTGTGATAATTTATGAGTTAGAGAATGGTCTTAGAAAAGGGTAAGTAGATTGTTCCTTTAGAATACGGCAGTATGAAAATTGAATAGAAGTTGATAATGCGCGAAGGGTCATTAATGCGACAGTACGCACACTTCTTTGCCTAACCCGTACGATGTACGCGGATATTTGAAGTATGTGATCAATACTGAAACAACTGGCTCAGTGGGGACTCTCCGGGAACATCATGCATTTCCTACAGAATTTTCTTATGAAAAGAACCTTCTAAGTGACAATTGGGAATCACCGCTCGAGGAAACTGGGGTACCACAAGGTTCAGTCCTTGCCGTGACCCTCTTCTTAGTGGCTATGAACAGCATCTTCGACCAGCTACCAAAAGGTATTTACATCCTGGTGTACGCGGATGCCATCGTCTTAGTAGTTCCAGGTAAAAGTCCCCTTCTTCTAAGAAGGAAATTGCAGGCAGCAGTAAACGCCGTAGTCCGTTGGACCGATTCAGCCGGATACAACCTTTCTGCAGTAAAAAGCGTGCGCACTCACATCTGCAAATCAAGGCACGGACCACCGCTTCAACCGATCACAGTCAACAGCCAACCTATTCCTTACAAGAAGACGATCTGGATCCTCGGAGTACGACTTGACAACCAACTCAGCTTCTTGGAGCAATTCTATGATCAGCAGCTGACACTGTGATAGATAAGCTGAGTTCTACATACAACAAGGCGATCCGAACCGTATCCAGTTTGTTGCCATCGGTGCTTCCTTTCGCCCACGTAGTTGCCAGCACGGTGTGCAAACGAGCAGTGAGTTACATGGAGATGACATCCGGGAATGACGAGACAACCCTCATCACAGAGGCCAACAGACTATTGAATCGATTCTGCAACTGTAACCTCCCACCCATATCCGAACTTCATTGCTGCGGCCCAAGAAGTTGGAGCCTACCTGAGATCCAAACCGACAATCATAATAGGAGCAAGTTCAGAGCTGGAGACAATTCACTCGTTCTAAAGAAATCGGTCACTGAATGGCTGAACAAGAAATACAGCGGACATTGCATTCGCTACACTGACGGTTCAAAAAGTTCCCTCGGCGTAGGCATTGGGATAACGGGTCCAAATCTCTGCGCTTCCCATCGTATACCTGATCTTTGTTCGGTTTTTTCTGCCGAAGCCAGGGCAGTATCCATTGCAGCCACTACATCGTCAGCAAAACCGCTCCTGATTTTATCGGACTCAGCCAGTGTTATTTCTGCTCTCTCTTCTGTACGCTCTCGTCACCCATGGATTCAGGCCATACAGGACAGGAGGATGCCTAACACCGTCATCGCATGGATACCTGGCCACTGTGGGATAAAGGGGAATGATGAAGCGGACCATCTAGCAGCCTCCAGGTTAACAGCGAACCATTTCACAAATGAAGTCCCCAGCCACGATACCAATTGTGGCTCAATTCTGTCTTTCATAACTCTTGGTCAACTATTTGGAATAATCGCACGACACTGTTCTTACGCGCAAGGTCATAGGATGCATCCACAGATGGGAGGCCCTCCCTGATCACAGAGAACAAAAGGTAATATCCCGACTTCGCACCGGCCACACCAGAATCTCACACGACATGAGCGGCAGATCTTTTCATATAGAGTGCGATCTAGGCCGGGTCCCTTTGTCAGTTGAGCACTTTCTCTGCGCCTGCCCAAAATATGCCGATCTTCGGGAAAACACCAAATCTCAAACAGCATCCACGACGTCCTTCAAGACAACCAAACTTCATCAGTAGCCTTGATCTGTTTCCTAAAAGATGCAGATCTCTTCCACCTCATCTGAAATTCCAACAGAAGAAAATAAAATAATCACTTGACAAATCACAAAAAAAGTTAATGCCAGAAACATGACGCCACACCTCAACGGATATACTCACCACATCATAACCACAGATTCAACCAATTCAACGGCCGTGTAAACTAACGGCAACCGAAGACAACAACCAAATACACACGACAAAAGGAAGAATAGACAATGATAAAATTTAACGGCAAATGAACAAGATTACGGATAACCAGTAGAACTTAGCTAGTGATAACAAGCCCAGAGGAGGTATTTATAAGCTCTCTTCTATGTATAAAATACTACAATAGACGAACCAGCCAAAGGCTGAAAATTTCTATAATAAACGAAAAAAATAACGAATAAAGAAAAATAAATAAAGAATAAAGAGCTGGTTGGAAATGCTACCTAACATGAAGCTTTAGTGTGATAATTTATGAGCTAGAGAACGATATTATAAGAGTGTAGGTAGATAGTTCCGTTAGAGTACGGCAGTATGAAAATTGAATAGAAGTTGCAAATGCGCGAAGGGCCATTAATGCGCGACAGAACAAGTCAAACGCACACTTCTTTGCCTAATCCGTACAATGTACGCGGAGATTTGAAGTATGTGATCAAATCTACAGGCAAAAAGTGTGCGCTTGGCTTGCTCATAGACTGTCTGCGGCTGTGGAATAGTTCTAGCGACGTTTCATCACTACCTAAAGCCCTATTTTGCCGAAACCATTTCCAGTCGATGGTGTGTTATAATGCAATTCTTCTTTACCTAACTATTGTGTTGCTCCTCTCGTCATGACAAAATTAGTCATCTCAGAAAGCAGCAAATCTCCTCGTACATCGTACACTGAACGAAAACTTCCGCAATACTTCTACTGATTATTGGATTGCTCGAGCCCTTAACAATATGCTGTCGAATTTCGGATGATTTCCTTATGGTTGAATTCGTCATCAACTGATGAGCATCCATATGACTGTCCTCCAAATAAAGGATGATATTTGGCTGTAAAACGTAAAGGGCTCAGAGGACAACAGTTTATGGATAGGATGACTTGCAAATGCATTAGGTAAGATTACTGATTCAATTGTTTACATTTTCATATTGAATAGCCATGAACGGTCATTCATCATGGACACACAAACAAATTTGTTGGTAGAGGAAACTTCCTCCACCACGAAATAGACAATCTACGGTTTCTACGCTTTACCAATGTTCGTAACACCTCTGATAGCGATGACTATGCTTCCACATCGTTTGTCTGCTCAGAACAACAAATGACGTTCGATAGAATTATTTACATCATCGTTTTGAATGATTTGCGTTAAGGGGCTGAACCAATACCAAAAGCATTTCAATTTAAAATGATCATTCTGCAGAGAACGTTACGCATTCCAACTGAAGGCTCTATCCCTTCTCATAACAATGTTCATTCTGTATTCGAGAGGAAAATTATCTGATTTCAAAACAACCGTCATCTATAGTCGCTATATTCATAGTCTGGCGGATAGAATTTCGATTAATCAAGAAGCGGAATCAATTCAATATATTGTATACCAACAATTGAAAAGGTAGTATCAACTTTTATAAACAAAACGTTGATTATTCTTTCCTCGCCAATCAAACGCAAATTACCGGCAACCCAAAATGGTGTTAGTTTGCGTAGGCAAGCCTTGAGTCACGAGAAAAGGGTTTCCGAAGTTTTGTTCACAATACCTGATGTGCTCTTTTCTGTTGTTGGTCATGATTTGCTCGATTGGTTCCACTATTTGACAGCTCAATTGGTTCCCGAGATTC